AGCTTTAATGTACAGAAGAAGCAGATTGCCTAGAACCTGAAATATATGGAGAGTAGAATTCAGCCGTAGTTTTCCCTGACAAAAGGATAATAGGCAGGTTTCCCTGCAGTTTTACTTGCAGAATAATAGACCGGCTGAGTTAAGCTATCAATCTTCCTAGAATAGAGGTGGGAAAACTTTTTGGCTCCACAGGCCAGATCCTTATCTGGTACCACCAACTCTGAGCCAACTGCGAGGACAGACCACCTGTCAATCACACATCATTATGACACCACAGGATTGACAGGTGGGTTCCCACACAGCAGCCAGCTGACTTGGAAAACCCTGAGCAAAATGGCAGGCTGTGGCTCTCCCACCCATTCAGCTGGTGGGAAGTAGGGCCAAAACCTCCTTTCCCTGGCCAATGCACAAGAAGAAACGCACTTTAAGGCTCATGACTGTGCACTGTCAGCCGCGTCTCTGCCTGCCCCACACTGAATATCACTTATGACATCAAGTGTGGGGTAAGTGGGCATCGTTCCCTTAAAATTGTCTTAATTTAATCCTAGAGAAATTCGATGTCCCATGAGATCAAAATTTGTTCACGTTTCTTAATTTTCATGGAACACCAGCAGTCTTTTATTATTATTGATTATTCTCGTTTAATAAATATCCCTTTAAAAAGTACTTGTAGTGAAGGGCAAGAGGCTACATGTGGCCCATAGTTATATTTTTATGAAGAGAATTATTTCCTCTAACAGCAGTCTTCTCACATTAAGACGGGGGAAAGAAGGTTACTGGGAGATTGCTTCCCATGGTCCTGGTGAAGGTTGTTCACCATTCAAAAAACAGGTGCAGGTGATTTCTTATGATTCCCTTTCATGTTTGGTAGGTTTTGATAGTTCAAAGCAAAAATTTAAAAAATAAGTGTCTAGTGTCTGAAGACTTCTTGAAGCACAAAAGGAAAGAACAGCAGGAATTGCACTTTCAGCTCCAATTCTCTTGGCTTGGGTGACTTTACACAGGCTTTACACAATTATTTTCAGCCATATTTTGCTCCCAAAACCATCCACGAGGCAGGTTTCTGGGAGCAAAAGGTATTCAAGCAGAAGCAAACTGAGGAAACAACAGCTAACTGCTCTCCTTCCCTATTTGTAGTTAACTGAGAGATGAATCACTTTGTAGTGGGAAATGATATTTTGTGTGTGCACATGCAAGTTAGCATATATTGCCATAAATACCATAACTTATTCACACGTACAACTTTCATAACTAATATACTGCATACACATTTTCTATTTTAGAAATAATATAAGTAATTGTTTGTGCTGGGACATCATCACAACCACTGTGGGAAGGCAGGTCAGCTGTGTGGACTGCTCCAAACAGTAATGCTGTTACCAGGGCTATGGCACCTGTCTGCAAGTCCATCTGGATTTACTTTTTTGCTCCACCAAGTATCACGCTTGTCTATCAAGACCTCTGAGACTGCCAGAACACTGGTGTCCCTCAGATCTCTTACCTAAAATCTCTGACAGAATCATTTCAGAACTACTAAATTCCAGAGACTACAGCAGAAGACACCACCGCTCCCAAATCTCCCAGAGCTGGCAAGCTTAGATATCTGCAGGCCAGCCAGACAAATGATATCATGCTATTCTACTTTGTTTAAAAGGGCAGCCACTGAGTCGTGGCAATGTCACCTTGACTGAGACCAAGAAGCCTAGAGAATTCATCTCATGCCTGTTAAAGGCCAGGCTGCAGCAGCAGGTCATTTCAGACTTCCTCCTGATGCCACAAGACTGAGCAGGAACAACACCTTAAAGAAATCTGATCATAGTAGCCTTTTCTTAGCAACAGGTGTCTAAGAAGATTCACTTTGGTGGAGGAGAGCCCAGACCAGGGGTCAGCAAGCTTTTTCAGCCGTGGGCCAGTCCACTGTCCCTCATACCATGTGGTGGACCGGACTATATTAGGGGGGTTAACAACTTCCTATGCCCCACAAGTAACCTAGAGATGCATTTTAAATAAAAGCAAACATTCTACTCATGTAAAAACACGCTGATTCCTGGACCGTCCGCGGGCTGGATTTAGAAGGCGATTGGGCCGCATCCAGCCCCTGGGCCTTAGGTTGCCTACCCCTGGCCCAGACCCTCCATCACTGACAGCTGGTTCCCAAACATTCCGAATCTTACAGTTCTTTGCTCCCACAATTAGGCTGATTCCTGGGAACTCCAACCATCACTTGCAAAAAGATCTTAGGAGTGGTCTGAGAAAGCAGAGCCTTGAACACATTGGACTTCTGATCACAATCTCTCTTTCTATACAATTTTGTTGGTGGTTATGGTCCATAGTATGAGCCACACTTTAAAGAACTGATCACCTGAGCAAAGGAAAAATGTATTAAGAAGCCGAATAAACCAGAAAGAGTGGGAAAGTAATCTCCAGGGAAGTCTTAGAGGGACTGTGACTGGATAAACTACTATCTCTGGCAAGGACTGAAGATGGCATATTGTCTGTCCCCAAAATTCCATCACACCAAGTGATGAAGAAACAGAGTGAATGCAGATGAAGATGGATTCCCAAAGGTTGAGGTCACCAGGGACATGCCCTAATATGGTCTCCTTTACTCTCGTAAGAGTGGATAAAGCCATTCACTTCTGTGAGAGAATTTTAAGATGCTGCACTGGGGGGCACTTGCAATGAGGTCAAGGCATGTCCTCTACTGCTGACACCAGATGGCCCAGTCCTCACTGGTTGCTAAAAGTATCCGTGTGCACAGTATGTAGAGATCTACCGCACTTTCCCCACCCACCAAGTTCCCTCCCCAAAGGCAACCACCACATGCTGTAGTGGTGGCTAATGATTTCGAGGGCTCTGAAAAGAGGATTAGACAAATCCAGAGGCTAAGGCCATCAATGGCTCTCAGTCATTATGGTTGTGTTCTACCTCCACTCTTGGAGGCAGAATGTCTCTGAGCACTGGCTGCTGGGAGCTGCACAGCTGCATTCAGGGTCTGCTTGTGGCCCTCCCATGAACGTCCAGTTGGCCACTGAGAGAACAGGATGCTAGACTAAATGGACCGGATCCAGCAGGGCTCTGCCCGTGTTATGAAGGGGCACTTTGCTTGTGTCACACTCAAATCATGACTACCTACTATTACTCTGCCTTCTAATTATTACCTGCCTTCTAAACAGCAGCGTGGTTACATTTAAGATGCTCAGTGGTTCTGGATTGCCAATGCAGTGTCCATCAACGGAAGGAGGTTGTAGTATACCACCTCTGAGGTTTCTTGGGCACATATTTGGCATTTGACACCCATCACAATAAGCAGTGGAACACAAAACAACCAAATCACATTTCGTGAAACCACTGGTAAAATGGGTCAAGACCCCTCCCCGCATCAAGAAGGCCCTGACTTGGGAGGTGAAGAGGCGGTCAGTTTAGGGGTTGTGAAAGCGCTCTCGATATCCCCAACTCCACCCACTTCAGCCTCTTGCGCTGGTTGAGAGGAAGCACCAAGCTGCCCCTGGGCAGGCAGTGACACAGATTTCCGTGCCTCATGACCAGGCGCCCAGTGCCATCTTGGAAGGAGTCTCCAGAGAAGGCAGCTTCAGAGGGCTGGGGGAGGGGTGTCAGATGAGGCTCCCAGGCAGGAAAGGCCCAGGCAGGGGGTGCCCCCCCCATCAGGCACTGGGAAAGGGTTGACCCTGGGGGAGGAGAAAGCCACTTGCCCCATAGGAGTCCCTCGAGGCACCAGCACACACACAAACACAACTCTGTGGAATGGCACACGACCAGAAAGTCTGGAAACAGACGACTAACTACCAAACTGGAAAGGGGGGAAGTGCCGCCGCCACATGGGCGAAAGGCAACAGGCAAGCGGTTCTGCCAGTTTGCAAAATAGTCTCAAAGTGCAGGGAAGCGCCGGGGGTCGCGAGCTCCTCTGCTTTGCAGCCCCCCAAGTAGTCCGGAGCCAGGGGGCAAAGCGGAAATGCAACCCTTTCCCATTGAAAAAATAACCAGGGGCTTTCCTCTCCTTTCCCTCGGCCTCCACGTTCTTCGCTTCAGATCAGTGGCGGGGCAGCAATCCCGGCCTCCCCCCCGCCCCGTCCCGACGCCCAGCAGGCGAGGAAGCGCCCCCGGGCTCGCCCCGGCGGGGAAGGCAGCGTCGAGGCGGCTGACAGCCCCGCAGTGGCGCTCCGGGCGCCGCGCTAATCCGCCGAGCGAGAGCCGGCGCGACGTGGAGGGTCAGCCAGACCCAGCCGCCGCCTCCAACGCCTGGCTGGCTGCAGACACCGCGGCTGTAACCTGGGAAACGAAGCACCGATTAGGCGGCCCGGGGGGCGGGGGGGGGACCGGAGAGGCGGGGAGGGAAGCGAGCGCGCAATAAATCCTGCGCCCCCGAACCTGGCATCTGTCCACCTCCAGATAAGGATGCGGAGAGACGGGCGGGGGGGGGGGAGAGATTGAAGCTCGCCAACAAAACTTTGCTCCGCAGCGCGCGCCCCCCAAACAGCACCCGGGACCCCGCAGAGCGGCCGAGGGGGCGCCACTTACGAGAGACGAAAGAGCCCGCAGCCGGCGGCCTCGTCCGGAAAGAAGGCGCTCAGGTCTCTGCCCCGGGTTGGGGGGACCCGACTTCGCGGGGGGGGGGAGCCAGCCGCTTCGAGGGCGGGGGGGGGGACACACCTCCTGTGCCGCCGGCGCTGCTGAGACCCGCGCGCGGCCCCCACCCCAAATCCCCCTTCGCTTTTTGTCTGGAGCCACTGATCTGAGACCGGCGTGGCGGCGGCTGCTGCAGGAGCCGCGGCGGCGGCGGCAACACCTCCCCGGAAGGCAGGCGGGGAGAGAGGGAGGGAGGCGAGGGCGAAGGGGGCCAGAGGACCTGCGCCGCTCCGCCGGCAGCCCCCGCCGGGAAAGGCCAGCGTTTCCCCGCCGCCGCAAACTTTTCCGCGGTACTTTCCTGCCTCCGCCCCGCATTCGCAGAGGAGGAGGGGGCCCTGGACTCTCGCACCTACCCGAAGCCGAGGGATCCGGAGCCGAAGCAGGAGCAGCGGGAGCCAGGAAAGAGGAGGACGCGGAGCAGCCGCCGCTCCGGGCAGTCCGGGTGTGCGCGTTGCGCGCGCGCTGCCGGATTACAGGTCCCGATCCGGAGCGCGCGCCGCCCCGCTGAGCTGGCCGGTCTTCTCGGCACCTGCCCCGAGGTGGCCCAGCCGCGTCCGCCTCCTGGCGCCTCAGCCGGCGGGGCTGCCCAGCCCGACGCAGAGGGCGGCCGGCATGCAAGGAGAGCAGGTCGCGGGGGGGGGCGGGCAAGTTGCGCAAGGCGGGCGGCCGCGGGCGGAGGCAGCCCTTGCTCGCTCGCTCGCTCGCTCTCGGCCGGAGCCGCTTCTCGGCCAAGCCTCCTCTACAGCCTCGCTCGGCGAGCACCGGCGCGGGCGGACCACATTGCAAAGGGCGGCCGCTTGCTCTTGCTGCTGCTGCTGCCGCCGCCGCTCTCGCCGCTTTCCGGGGCTGGAGGCAAAACCCGGACCGGACTTCAGGCGCAGCGCCCTGGCAGCTGGCCGCTCTGCTGCTTCTCGCCGCCGTCCTCCGCTTTTCCTCCAGGTCGCGCTCTTGCCGGCCTGCTCTCGGGGGCTTCCATGGCGGGCTTCCCTCTGCCTCCCCGAAGCCGCAAGCCCAGGTTTACTCCGCCGGAGTCGCTCGCCTCGGCCCCTGGGTCTCCCCCCGTCTCTGCTCGGCGCGGACGAGCCGCAGTAGCCGCGCCGCCAGTCCAGCCCGATCCTGCCCCTCTTGGCCGCGCGCGCGCGCTCCTCGCCCGCCCCCTTGGTGGCTCCTCGCCCCCCCCCCCCGCGCTCGGAGGGCAGGCCAGCAAGCATGTTGTCTAGTGCAGGGGCTTCCCCTTTAAGCACACGCGCACACATATGCACACACACAAATACGCGCGCGCGCACACACAAACAAGCCAAAGTAGGATGCAAAACTTTGAAGCGCGGCTAGTTGCAGGAGCGAGCTGAGCCTGCGCCGCGCCTCCAAAGAGACCCGTTTCTGGATACTGCGATAAACGTGCAGACGCAGCCTGCGTCCAGCCGCTTGCGGGAAAACTTGAGTTCGGCTCCGAGCAGGACGGGGCGCCGCGGGGGAAGCTCGGGGTGTCAACAACCCCCGCCCCAAATGCAGCGCAAGAGCGCGCCGTAGCCACGGACTGCTGCATGCTGTGAGGAAAACAGCTTTGGATAACTGCAGGGTGATCTTTAATACTATATTTATTACACACACACTCACAGGTTTAGCTCGTTTTAAAAAAAAGCACGCACAAACTCCAGAGATGAAAGCCACCGGGGACGCACCAGGCGAAGGCCGAGGGCCAGCTATTTATTGCTGGGACTCCCCTCTGCTGCCATCTTCCCCTGAGATCGGCAAGGTCAGATCCCTGAATCCACCCTGATCTTTCTCGATTCCCAGCCGCGTCGAGCTAGTGGAGAGGGGCCTCCATTTTCTCTTTCCTCCGCGGCGAAGAGTTGCGCCCCGTCCTTCCTGCTGCGCCCGGGGGCCGGGAAGCGGCCAAGAGCTCAGCTCCTCCCTCGGCGCGGGGAGCGGGGGGGTGGGCTCTCGGGAACCAGATCCCTCACCCCCCCCCCCGAGAGGCGCTCAAAGCAGAGAGCGGAATCCTTCCGGTCCAGCCGGCTCTTCAGTACTTGCCCGAGGGCCTGGCGAGGAGTTGTTTGTGCGGGGAGGAGAGTGGGCAGCGGCAGGATCCAGTCTGAGCCTTGTGCATAAGTGCATAAGACACATGCCTGGAAGACACTGCTAAGCTCTGGCTGAGGCACAGAGTGACAGTCACGCAAAAGCCCAAGTTAGGCATTGGTTGCAGGTCCACAAACTGAAGCATGTGCTTGCTTTTGACTGGATCTTGCTCAGCAAAATAGTACCAGCTATAAAGTCTTAAGTGTTATAGCCATTTTAAGGGTCTCAATATCTGGTACGATATATGTATGCGGTGCTATTATTTTTTCAGGGGTACTCAATGGTATGCAGTACCAGCACAGCTTTTTTGTTGTTAAAAAGTGTGGAACTTACTGTAACAACTTCATGGTGAGTTTTCTAGAAAAAAAGCGATGAAAGCCAGTGTGGTGTAGTGGTTAAGAGGGTGGACTCGTAATCTGGTGAACCGGGTTCGCGTCTCCGCTCCTCCACCTGCAGCTGCTGGGTGACCTTGGGCTAGTCACAGTCTCTCAGCCCCACTCACCTCACAGAGTGTTTGTTGTGGGGGAGGAAGGGAAAGGAGATTGTTAGCCGCTTTGAGACTCCTTAAAGGGAGTGAAAAGCGGGATATCAAATCCAAACTCTTCTTCTTTATGTATGTATAACTTGGTAAATACTGATTTTTGAATCTAGGTGCTGTACACAACATTTAAAAAGACAAGATCTTCCAGCAAGTAGATTGAATTTAATGATGTATAATCTAGTTTAGTAGAATGATGGTGGTTATTGGGTGGGCACATAGGCGCCGACTCCATGGGGCTTGAGGGGGCCCGAGCCCCCTCAAAAATTCGTTTGGGGGGCTCTGCCCCCCCAATAATCTCCGGCGCCCCTCCAGCAGAGCGCCATCGCCGCCCCTCCCCCAGCCCAAAATGCACAGGGAGGGGCGGGCTGCATGCCTCCTGCCCTCCCTCCCGAGCAAAAGCTCCACCCAATTTCCTTTGGAGCTGATTAATAGGCGCAGCACGCTCTCCCCTATTCGCTCACGAGGAGGCGGCGCCACTTTATTTGCATATTCATGAGCTTATTTATTATTCATGAGCTTTCCCGGGGGCCCCCCCCCCCAATATTTTTTATAAGTCCGCGTCCCTGGGTGGGCATATCAGGCTGTATGATGAGTGGCTTTGTTGCCTGAGAACACCCACCCTCACCTCACAATAGCATATAAAACAATAATCAAGGAAAAGTCAGTAAAAACAACATATAGCAGGAAAGGCAATAAGAGCAAACACATCAGCAACAGAAGGATGAGCAGTCAACCACTACCTGAGTGAAAAACTCCTTGGAATACTAAGAGAAAACAATTGAAGGGCAACTAGTTCCAAATCCTGGGTGCCACCACTGAAAAGGCTCTCTCACTTGTACCCATCTAGCATACTTCAAATAGTGGCAGGCCTTAAAGAAAGGCCTCCCCCAAGGATTTCAACCGGCAAGTACATTTGTGGTCCCTCTGTTTCCTTGGTCCCAAAGCAACTAGGGCTTGAAAGGTTAAAAACAAAACAAAAACAGCACTTTGAATTAGGCTTGGAAACAAAACAGAGAGCCAACGAAGATGGCATAAAATTAGTGTAAATGTGCTCTTGGATGAACTCTCAACTGTTGCTGCACACCAAACATATTGCAGTAGTTTCATCTAAATGGCCTAGTCCGCCTTTTCTGGGAAGGAGTGCAGCAGCTGGCATACCAACTGAACTGTCCTCTCCTCCGAACCCAACGATATTTGAAACTATGGCATGGAAGCTAAGCCCCAGAAAAGAATGAAAAGCTCAGCGTGGCATCAGGTAACGTAATAATGGGAGAACGACCCTGCTGGATCAAACCAAGGAGGAGTTTTGTCCACCTTCCCATTTCCAGTATTTCAAAGTGCACTGTTCCTGAGCATGGAGGCTTCATTGAGCTATCCTGAGGAGTCCCCAATAGCTATGGACAGGCCTATCCTTCGTTAATTAATTAATCTATTATTTATTTAAAAGCATCTACAAAGTCCTTAATATTTCAAAAGTCTCTAAAAGTCCTTTAAAAAGCAACCTAAATTTATGGCATAAGCTAATGTTGTGCAAAGCCCTTTCTCTTGTCTGTTCTGACCCTTCCATCAGCTAAATTCATTGGGTGATCCTGAGTTCTAGGGTTTCGGCTGTTTCACTCAGTCTCACGATCCTCCGGTGCTGTTTGCATTTTAGTCTCCGTCCTCTAGTTTTAGGGTCAAAAGGTCATGTGACCTCCTCCAAGCAAACGTGAGGCCAGTCGATAATTGCTGGTGCCAGAAGTTATTGACTTGGGTAAAAAAAACAACTGGGTGAAATTCTTTTCAGGACATATGAGCCGCTCCCTCTCATAGTTGTCTCTTATGAGAGCAACAGAATGTCTTCTTTAGTAGACAATGAGAGGAGCTCATGGTCAGATGTGAACGCTTTCATGAGTCCATGTAGGGGAGATAGATTAGATAGATGACAGATAGATGATAGATAGATAGATAGATAGATAGATAGATAGATATAGATAGAGGCGTGTGTGTGTGTGCGCGCGCGCGCACAATGCATTTGAAAATGCACACCTTTGTGTTCCTCATGGCAAAAAGTCTTATCCAAATGAGAAGCATAAATTCTAGCAAGCCAATCATAAATAAGTCTGGAATGAATTTTAAAAGCTAAAAAGATATAAAATCCAGTGCTTTCTTCTAAAACAAAATGTTTAGGGATACTCTCATTTTGACTCAAGAAATTCACCAATTTTATAGTTCAAACTGGGGAAAATAAATACAGTAAATGGACAATAGTACAGAGATTCACAAAATGTTTAGGTGTATGCATCCCCCTGCGTCCCCCTAGAAAAAAGCACTGATAAAATCTAACACAGAATGTGCATGAAAAGCTGGAAGGCAGGTACAGCCCATTAGATGACACGTGTAAAGAAGAAGAAAAGTGTTGAAGGAAAAGATGGAAATTGCTGGTGAACATGCTGGGTCGATACCCATGCCTGAACTAGGTTCTAGGTTTTGTTTTCTGGAATAAACCTAAAGTCCTGTGTCAATGAAAGCTGGCAATGGAAGTCATTTTAGAAGTAACTGACAAAACAAAGTGAAGATAATAGAAGAACTTCAATGTGAAGCTGTTGGTTTTCAATTCAGATATCTAACATTACTGAGAACTGCAGAGATTTTATTTCTTTATTTATTCATTTATTCATTTGTTTATTTACATTCTACTGCCCCAAAGGATAAAATATAAAATATTTAATATTTTGAATATCATTGTTGCCGTAATTTATGTGGCAATTTTTATTATTTTTGTATAGTATTCGGCCCTGTGCCATTTCAATATGATTAGTTTAAAGGAATTCACATACCTCTTTT